CGCTCTCAGTTTCATGCAACGATTTGCAGAGCTGATGAATAACTCGGTTCGCTTATTCTCCGATCGATCACAGCTCTGGTTAACTCCAAACGAACTCCAAAATGACGAAAAGCATCAAAAACTCGTTCACCACGGGAACTTTTACTTATTGTCATCCGACCTCCCTTTACGTGGCCCCCTTTCGCTAGGCCCTCTTGTCATTGCGAGGGTGTCACAGGTAACCCTTAAGGTGAGCAAGTGTGATTATCTCTTTCTCACAGTTCCTCTGCTACCCGCAGGTCTTGGCTATATATCTGGCTAATCTATCTGGGGCGTGTTCACAGGAGATATGGGGCCCTGCTGAAGAATCCCGCCAGGGCTGAATCTAAACACACACACGCGCGCGAGCGAGCGAGCGCACGCACACATTCAGCTGTGAATTCATCTCGCCTGAATGTCTTTAATAACTAGGTTATTATCTGAGTCAGGGCTCAATACAATATTGCCATAATTCTTACGCAGATGTTAGGCTTCCTACCTCAGTTGAGTTAGCAATATTTTACAAATGGTCACCACCAAAAGCTGCAGAGAAATAATATTAAACCGAGACAAGTAAAGTAAATTACCTCAGACGCATATGTTCCTCTCTCTCAGGTAACAAGTAATGAAATCGCTCTTTTATTAAATTTAACTCACGCATCTCCTTAATTTTTTTTTTAATTTCCAAAGGAGAAGTCATTAATTTGTGTTTTATAATGCATCTGATGTGCGCTACCTGTAGTGCGCTACTGTGTGAGGTATGTTTCTCTCGCTCTCTGGTTCGCCATCCTTTTATTATGGCGCCATCTGGTGGTGAACATTGGGCTTTGCGTTTAATAGGCAAAACAAATGCTCCATGTTCCTGTGTTCTTCCGGTAGCTTGTCCGAAGTTGGTTGCTACGTACAATAAGGAGACTTTTGGTGGGCTTTGCAGCATTACTGCTGTCAGTATGGACCCTCATCACCCCCACTTGATCACCGATTGTCTTATTCATATTTTTACATTCCTGAAAGAAGAAGATTTAATCAGTGTCTCAAGTGTATGTAAGGTAAAGAGTGTCCTGCATGCGGAAGTAGCTAAGAAACAGCTTGTAACTAATTAAATAATACACAAAGTGGATGACCTGTTGTGTCTGATCGTAAATATGTATTTTCAGGAATGGCATAAAGCTGCAGAGACGTCTTGGTTATGGAGGTGCGTCTTTATTTTGACTGTTTAAAGCGTGGGCTACTGTTAAGCAACTTAACGATGCAATGTGAATGATAATATTTGTTGTGATCGGGGATGGAGTAGTTAACGTAAATAAAAACGTGTAAACATCCAGTTCTCTGGTCCCGTCAGGAGGATGTGTCTGCAGCGCTGGAGCTTCTGTAACCTCGCCGTGATGAGGAGTGAGCAGGTATGGCACTCGTGGAAGAGGTACTTCCTGCGACGCGCCCACCTGGAGATGAAGATGACTGAAGGCCGGTCAGGAGGTTACACCTGCAAAAGCCTTAGGGGACACACAGGTAGACTGTCTCTCTGTCCCTTGAATGCCCGATGCGTGACTCCATTATGTCTTTCATGTCATTTTTATATCCGATATGCGCACTTTGCCCACCAGGTAGGGTGGTAGGGTTGGTGTACCTGCAGGGGAATTCAGCCCAGCATCCCGGCATCTGGAACAACAGCACCACAGTCTGCAGTGCTTCTACCGATGGTACAGTCCGAGCGTGGGACGTCCAAAATGTCAGTGCAACATCTGCAGCATCATCACGCATGCTCATCAGCTATGTTAAAAGTATGGTTATCAGTGCATCGCGGTTTCTTGTTTGGAGGCACAGTCTGATTAAATGTGATATTTTGTGTTTTTTGATGTTTGCGGATTTTAAAATTAAGTTTTTCATTTGATTTATTTTATGTGCACTACCACAAAATAAAGCCAGAAGTGAAAGTGACAGTGTTTGAATGCAGGCATCATACAAACTTTTTTTTTATCAACACTACTGCTAACATGTTTCTTCAAACCACATGTATGTAGTTTCATTCCAACTAAACACTTCTCAAAAAAATTTCCTCCAATAGTTCCCCCTGATCTAAAGCTGCAGGCCACTGCAATAAATGCAAATAAAGACATTCACCTTGTTCACACAGGGTGAGCTCCTGTGGTGCAGTCCTGTGCAGAGTCCTTTGACGGGGATTTTAAGTGACGAACAGCATGAAGTTGTGATCACTGCAGATTCCACAGGCCTCATTAAGACATGGAAGGGCCAGACTGGTCAGGAGGTGGCCTCCTATTCAACTGCATCTCCACACTGTACATTGCTCCAGTACAACATCAACAATGACTGGTTTTTGACTGTAAGTAACCTCAGAATTCCCTCAGAATATACTGTTATTCTAGTAAAGTAACACATGATTCTCATTAAATTCTCTTCAAGGTTGGAACCAGTCAGGGATCAGTGTGTACACTGGCTGATTCAGCTTTGACTAATAAGTCCAGCACAATGGTGTGTGACACCTTTAAAGTCAACATACTCCTAGTCTCACCTGACAAAAAATGGATTGTGGCTGGAACCAAGGACAACGATGATATAAGTCCAAAGGTATTTCTTGTCGTCTTTGACAGCCTGACTTTATATCTGTGCTTCCTGCTATGGTCTGTTCTTATGTGTTTTCCTTTACCACATTACCTCTGTGTAAATGACAGTTGGGAAAATATGTGTTCATCATAGATAAGAACAGTGAAACATTGATGGACATTTTGCATTTGGTTTGTTTCCAGGTGATTTATACTGAGAGTCTGATCTCTCCAACTATGGACGAAGATCCTCTGTGCCAGTTTGTACCAGTCAGTGGGTGCCAGGCTGCTGTCTTCATACCTACGCAGCCTGCCAGACTGGCCATTATCCACTGCAGTGAGGGCCAACGCAACAAAGCCCTCACTGTCTTTGATGTCAACATTAAAAAGACCAAGTACAAGTCAGAGATCCAGGGTGAGGACTGAGATATGTGCAGAGTGACTAGTGCAGCAATTATCTTTAGATCTGATACAGATTCTCACATTAGTCATTAGAAGCCAAAAGTCCGATGACAAATCATTCCAGAAAAATCTAGTTTTATCCGTGGATACTGCTAAGAACAGCTGCTAGTAGGGAATTTGATCTATTATATTGTATTTTTCTTACTCCTTAGGACAACTGACATGTATGACTTCAAGAAATTTTGAACTGTTTCAGCCACTGGCCACAGCCTCCCTAGGCCAGTATGCTGTACACCCACAAGATGTGTTTTGAATATGTGGGAAGAGTGATCTCATCTACAAATCCTGTCATTATACTTTAGTTGGTGCTATTTTGTTCACACCTGTTGTAGTATGGACCCTCTACAAAATCTACAAAATGTAGGACATTGAAATTAAGCAGACTGAGTGAAGGTGGGTACTCCAAATTTGTTACTCACCATTACCATGTTGTGTTTTTGAATCTTCTCTTATCACAGTCCAGCAGGTGGAGTCCTTCCCCTTGACTCTGAACACATGGTCCCCAAACATCTTTCTAGAGGCCAGGGACAGCAACTGCTTAGTGCTGGCAGCTGGCCAAGAGCTATGGGTCTACTCTCTGAAAGGAGCCCTGCTTGCTAGCTTTAAAGAGCATATTATGCCTATCTCTTCTATATGTGTGGTAGGCTGTTGTCTCATTGTATTCACTGAAACCTCTCTCTTGTTCTTTGTTTTACACAGTAAAATACACCCTCTGTGTGAAAAGTATAAATGTCTGAACATGACTTGTTTGTATTGTCTTAACGTTTAAAGGATAGCTTCCGTGTGGTGACGGCTTCTCAGGACCTCTCCTTACGAGTACTGACGTGGAAGAATGACAGAGACCACGGGTTGACTCTTGAGAGCAGATACCACCTACTGGGAGGCTCACACACAATGTCTAGGTAATGTATACTGTGGCATTTCAGTATCTGTCTGCTGTATCAACACCAGCCAAGTTAGCGGCAGTAGTTACTTTACTGCCAGCCTGAATGCAGATATTTTCTCAGTATTAATAAGACATAAATATCACCTGATATGTGCACCATCTTTGTTTCCTTCATTTATTAAGCTTGTTACTTTACACTTTGTGTCCTGTGTTCTAGGGGCTTCACTCACGTTACGTGTGATTACTCCAGTATCGTGGCCTCAGTAGAAGGGAAAGATGGGAAAGATGTCTTAAAAGCTTATTCTTTCACCTCCTGAAATGGTGCCTGCATGCAGTCTGAACATCCCACTAGAAGGAGGGACGTTTGCTTTTATTATCAACTGTTCATCATATACGTATGCTAACACTGTGATGTTCTGTGGTAAGTAAGTTTACAAAAAGAGAATGTAACCTGTAGTAAGAAACACTATGCTACAGGAAAGGCAGTGACACACTGTGTGATACAATATGCTTCTGGCTATATATCTGGCTAATCTATCTGGGGCGTGTTCACAGGAGATATGTGAAAATGTTCTGTGACTATGATTTTGGAGCTGAGCTATGCCAGTGTTGAATGTGACCAGGCTTAAAGCAATATGTTACCTCTGCTCTCTGCAGAGGAAAAACAATACTGAGGCAGGTTTGTTGTGTATCAGTGACAGTGAACTACATACCATAAGTGTTTACATTTATCCCACATTGAAAGATCAATTGTTACATGTTAAATAATTTTGTCACAAGGCACAGAACCATCCTTTTTTCTTTCACGTCTCCACACGGATGTTCAAGTGCATCTCATATACAGTATACAGACCTGAGAGTACCTATGTGAGAGGGAAGGGAGACGGAGACAGAGGTGTCTTGTCTGCTTCGATGGCCATGCATCTCATGTTCTCAAGGACAAGCCTTAGGACTGTAGTCATGGATTCGTACACTTTGCTCTCATCCTCTGATTTAATATCCATCTGTTCAAAGGTAAACAAGACTTGTAAGTTGGTCAAACAAGTGAAGACAATGTCTACATTAATGTAATTGCTGAAATAAAGTGCAAATAAAAAGATGTAGAGGTTTTCTTACCCAGGTGAAAGCCTTGATAGTACGGTTCAGAAATGCATTTTCAACCTCTTCTGGTATCGTTAGCATATTAGCCATACAGTCCAGTATATATGTCAGTGTTTCTTTAGGGGCCTGGGAAGAGTTGACAAGGAGGCTAAAGCTAAATATTCATTCAAGCTTTTTTGTCTAAGCATTTTACTTTCATTCATTGATTATTTCTGTTGTTTCAAATGGCACAGCACAGAGTAACCTCTGACCTGGTCAAGTGTGCTGAGGGCAGTTTGAGCATCAGTGTTTTGGGGGTTCAGGGCTCTGGCTTCCTGAATGGAGATAACCGGATCGCTAAGCTGCTCTAAACATGCCCACATGAGCCCAGTGAGGATGACGGGATCCCGCTCCATGTGCAGCCGTTCCCATGCACCCCCTTGGTTCAGCTCTGCCTGCACACATTTGGGCAGTCGTGTTATAGACTGTTTTCCGGTTTGTAAATGAGACAACTCATACCGGCACATTGCTTTGTTATAGCTGCTTTGTGCAGAATTAATGTCATGTCATTATAGGATCTTTGGAATTAATCCAAACATGGGGATCTCATTGATGCTACAAATAAAATACTTTAATAACACTACATCACTGTATGAAACATGTGGGGTGGTGGTTGTCTCTTTACTTCTGTTTAGAAAAGGTCATTTGTAATGTAAAAAAAATTAATTACCAAATCAAAATGTTATGTTAGGTGATAGATTGTGTGTTTTGGACTAGGGTGTATGCAACGAATCCTTTGTGACTGTGATTTATAGCTTGTCATAAAAACACGATGTAACTGCCATTGGAGCATAGCATCAGTCTTTGTGATGCAAAAATTTCTGTGATTTATAGCTTGTCATAAAAACATGATGTAACTGCCATTGTAGCATAGCATCAGTCTTTCTGATGCAAAAATTCAAGAATTGCCGCTTTTGATGCATTGCTACATGCATGCTTTCATTTTCTACAAATACCACTACACCACTGGTATAGGCCAGTTACCTCCCACGTTAAGACTTTGCTCTTGTGCTCATCTTCTCCATGAAGAAAAAGGTCCACTGCCAGGGCCTGCGCCACCTGCAGCCTCCTAGAATCCAGGGACAGCTCTGACTGTAGGGTGATAAACGGCACCTCTGACATCTCTGAATGCTCCTCCTCTCTACCTTCAGATTTAATTGCTAGTTCTTCCCTTTGCTCTGCCTTCCATCTGGGCAACATGTTACCCTTGCTGGTAAGTTCCTTGTTTCCCACAGACTCACTACGTTGGATCTTTTTCTGCTTCACGTTCTTCAGCAGAATGGATCCATCCCTGTGGTTTTCTGTATTCTTGATTTTCCAGAGAGAGCCTGTTGAGTCGTGTGAGAGGTCAGACAAGTTGCTATTCCAACCTTGATGCTGGGATGACAGTGATACTGGAAGAGCTGGTTCAGATGGAGAAACTGACATTTTAACATTACTCTGTGCCAGGGAGTTGAGATGCTGTTTGAGGGGGTGGAGCTGTGAGCCCAGTCGTCTCAAGTCAGACTCACTGTAGCTTAGACTTTTGTGATGGTAGAAGATAGGTGGCTTGTTGAAATGCTTGTGTAAGGTGGGCATAAATGGTAAGCTGGGCCCCTTTGTAAAAAATTCAGGACCTGTTTTAGTGATACTGAGAGTCCTCTCTATGTCACGAATATCTGGGGCGTCCAGAATGTCCTCCTCAATCACCTGTCGATTCATTGCAATGTCCACCAGCAGCCTAGACACTAAGTGAACAATCTTTGGTACGTGTCTTAGCTTCTTCCTCTCATGACCATGCAGTATGTGTCTCTGGTGGTTCAGGTACTGGGACAGAGTAACTGGGTTGGATCGAGGCTCAGCACAGGAAAACACACTTCTCAGAGGGGTAAGGAACTGGACAAACTGCCTGACACAACGCAGCTGACTTCGGGTCTGGATGGAATTAGGACGGTTAGCACGTACATACAAAATAGCCTGGTTAGCGGTCATCCTGGTAGAATAGGCCAAGAAACAAGCTAGCAGTACACCTGGAGGGAAGAATAGGGAAAGTCTTCACTGTATGTCAGATTATGCAGTTGAAAACTCAAACTGTCCTGAATAGTCCAAACACTTCTATGCAGTTGAAAACTCAAACTGTCCTGATTAGTCCAAACACTTCAACATTCCTCACAAATCTACCTGTTCTGCCGAGACCAGCGTGACAGTGGACTGCTATCTTTCCCTCCTGCAGAGCAAAAGCCATGACCTTCACCATGTCCAGCACAGCAGTTAGGTTGGCCACTCCATAGTCATCCCAGCCAAAATTGTAGAAATATACTGTAACAGTGAGATATGTTCACTTACACTTGTGCAACACTACAGATTTATAAACAAATATTGTATAAAGCACTTACTGTTGTTTTCCATGAAGACCTCTGGGCGGTATGAGAAGCCACTCTCTGGCTCCAGAGGGTTTCCACAGCTGGCATGTTCACCAGCTATCTGTAGGTTGATTACTGATTTAATACCATTTCTTGATACAAACACATAGAGTACACACACACAAAGAGACATGTACACTTTATTATTCCCATCTCCAAAGGTGCTGGGTGTTCATAGTCAGGAAGCTGCTGAAAGACCTTGAAACATAGTTGTGTGTACCTTCTGAACTGATCAATAATGTTATACTTCTCAATGATTTCTGTCGATGGTCTGGACATAGCGAGAAGATGATCAGTAACCCTAAAGTGATAGAAGGAAATGTTAGTGGGATGTATAGTACATAGTAATCTGTAGTTTTGTACTTCAGAAAAATATAAAAGCATTTGACTGACAAAGATACTTTAGAAAACTCTTATGTTTTGTACTAGCAAGCATGCATACCAGGATGAGTAGAGGCCTTTTATAGCCTGCTGGTCATCACTCCAGTAATCTGGGTTGTCATATTTGCAGTCTTGACCTCCACAACCCACTGAACATTGCACATGTCCAGGGATGACAGAACGCATAGCTTCTCCTAGTACTGTGTACTTTGCCCTGGGGGCTCTGACTGGAGGGAAGAAAGAAAGAAGAAAAATTAGATATTACACAAATTATATTTAATCTAAAATTCTAAACACTATAATTGATTAAACTGTATATTTACTGTATTCAATTTGCTCTCAAAATGTAAAATGAAACTATTAGAAAAAAGTGGTTTCTCAGCAAAGTAAACATGTTATGACATGTTACAGATATAGGTATAGATAGTATAGATAGTACTACAGTGCAGCTCAAAGATTGTCTAATGTATATTGTTATGTAACACTTACAAAATTAAGATCATAAGTGGTTGAGTTCTGACCTGTCTTGTCTGGCATCGCCAGCCTGTTATCAAGGCATTACAGTATACGTAAATTACTCATCTGGCACATTTGAGATACTCTTAATGTAACAGTTTGGTGAAATAAAAACTGCTAATAGTTGTAGCTGACCAACTAACTGACCTTTAGTCATTAACAGATATATTGTACCCACCATCTTTACTTACTGTATTCCATCAGAGCTCCACCTCCAGTCTTTGCATGGAGTGCCATATGAACAGTCACTCAGACTGACATCCACGGTCATAGCAGAGCCTGGACACACTGAAAACAAGTGGTGCTGAAGGATGTACTTTAAGCCTGAACCATCATACAGTAAAAACAGTTTCCAAGTCAGTTTCCAAGTCTGGAAAAATGCCTCTCAGAAATAACCAATTCTCTGCATATTTTTTTTACAACTAATATGTTTTCTATATTAGACAAAGTTAGAGAGGAGCAAGTACAAATACATAGGTTGAACCAAGAACAACATCACAAATTATACTATGACATATGTAAAGCAGACATAGTCTCTTTTAAGAGATTGGTTAGCTGCTATTTTTACCTTGTTATCTTATCAGTACAAAATGTATGGTCACTGTTCTAGATCAGTGTGAAAAATCATCAACTTTGAATTAGCCAACAAGGAAAGACATTCAACCAAACTAACATTATCTACGATAAATAAAATAAATTTAACAGATTTACCTGTAGTACATCAGATGCTTGCTACCACCATGTCACACAAATGCTTCACAGATGCAATTGCCACTATTTCCAACATCAACCTCCACAGCTCTGACATTGTCTTTCCCTCTCCAGCTCTGGACAGTCAGTCCTGTGGCCTCGCTTGCTTTGATTTGTCTCAGATTATCTCTTTGTAGCCAGGTGGGGCAATACGAGGATCGATAGGATCTTGTGTGGAAATCCATCCATCTCATCAGGATGATAGATCCAAGTATGGAAACAAATTAAGATCACAAATGTGTTGAAGAGTGATTGTGTCCTTTGTCAATACCTCCATGTGCAGCTCCTCCAGTCTGCAGCCCTGTTGGAGAGTAGAGGGTTATTCCTAACTCCTCATGGATTAGACTACTAATCTTATTACTGTACAGAGATAAAATAGAGCACCCACTCCTCAACAAAATCTCATACTATGGCCACATCACCGGTGTCTTCTGCTGTACTGTGATGCAATACAGTGGGTACAGTACAATGCAATACAATTAAAACATGAGTTAACACCTGAGCAACTGTTCAACCTGAACAGATCCTCATTTTGTCAACTACGTACATACAGTACAGCATTTAATTAATGATATGAATGTCTATTGTTTTGAATAAATACAAACAGGTTTTGGGTTTTTGTCATGAGAGAGTTCAGAGGATTTCTGAAATTAACACACGTGAACTCTTGTGCCCTTCTTCTAAAAATAGTGGGACCTTAGTGACATAGCAGGTAGGCTAGGTCAAATCTTATTGACTTACCTTGAACTTTGCTAAAGCTGGTTAGGTTTAGGTTAGAGAGAGAGAGAGAGAGAGAGAGAGAGATTCCTAAAGGTTTTTGTCAGTTTTTACTATGACATGAACAGGATTTTAGATTTCATCTTGTATTAATACCACCTACATTTGTCAATTCTTGCATGTTTGTCCTTAACTGTACACTATTTTTTAAACTCGTGGTTGTTAAAATAATTGTATTATTAATATTATTAGGCAGTTAATTATGTAGTTTACAGATTATTTAGGTATTTAGAGTGTTATATCTAAATGCATTATAAATATATCTAAATACTCAAATTTTTGAAGGATTTGTTAATACCCTTAAATCTATTTCTACTGTATGCTTTTTACATTGTTTCACCTATGTTTTATTGTAGTACTATGCTTTCATTAAACCATTATCTCTGTTTACTGCTGCACTACTGTTTCTATATGGACATTCGATGTGGTAGCAGGCAATCTTTATTCTATTCTCCTGTTTTATATCAGTTAACGTTAGACCATAGACTCAGTAAAAGATTCTGCTCCAATGTGATTTTACCTGAAGTAATAACCTAGCTACATTCTAACCTATACCAGTCATGTCTTATAATGTTTAACCTGACCACAACAACCCTTGCATGCTTCCCAGCTATGGGATTCTACATTTACCCTTTCATATGTGGCCACAGTGACAAAATGTGTCAACAGACTATATGAATATGCAGTGTCTTTAATCTGGAAATATTATGTGATTCATTTATCCGATCGATGGCAGCAGATATACAAGTGACAAGCCTACAGAGCAGCCGTTAGCCCGTCTGTTTGCTCTAATTCTATGACAACAAATGACGAGGACAGAGATTTCCGTGCTCCACATAGGCAAGTAAGCAAAGCCTGGTGGGAAATGTGTTCAGTTCTTGGTGTCGGTAAATCATTGAGGTTGACTGCACATATACATAAGTACTACATTTCCCAACAAGCACTTCCCCTAGGAACTGCCCCAATGTAGTTGCGTAGGTGTATCTCATTTCAGCAAACTTGTAATAGACAAAGATGAAAGATGAAGATGTTCTTATAATTAATTCTGTTATTAATAAAACTAACTAAGAAAAAACTTAATTAATGGCTTCTTGGAGACTTACATTTAAGAGAAAGGATTTTTTTTTCTCTCAAAGGCTGAAGGAATATTTATATTAATATATGCTGCACTTTCTCTGCATGTTGATTATCACATCTGTAAAACAATAGACACATTTTATTTGATTTTATATGGACAAATTGTATTCACTATTTGGAAAAATCAGTTTTGCTGAGCGAATATAGTAAGGAAGGCCTTCATTTTCTGGATTTTACCACTTTAAATTACATTTTTAAAATAAGTAGTCTTAGACACTATGTCAAATGCTCAGCCTCCTTATGGAACTTTATTCCACACCATGTCTTCTATTTTGATGATGGTCTTAATTTTCTATGAGTGTATGATTATAATATTAATAAAATTCCCCTTAAACTTCCATCATTTCATAAACAGATCTTCTCATTAATCTATAAGCATAACTTTCCTTGCCACAGATTTTTTATTTGGATAATAGATATATTTAGTATAAAAATAAGACAATATTTTTAGATTTGACTGACCAGTCAACTTTTTAATCACGAAGGCCAACTTTACAACAATGTGGAATTTATCTACTGCTTTGGATTCCCCGTTTCTCCAGGGGAATTTTCACTTGTGGTTTGTTGCTATCCCTTCAGGTGTTTCACTTTTCATCCATAAATCTGAAATTTCAGACAAAAAAGAAAGAAAAAAGAATAAATTCTGATCAAAATATCTACCTTAAACATTGCACCATCTCTATAACTAATTATAAAAATAAAGAAGCTGTTAAAACTCTTAGTATATGTAAACAATTTAATTTATTATATAATTGCTTTCTTATTTATGTCATTTATCTATTTATTCTGTTTTCTGCTTTTTAATGATAATGCCTTCTGGCGTTTTGTAAATTGTTTTCTTTCGTTGACCTTTATAGTTGTTTTTTGCTTACTGTATGTATGCTGTGTACACAGGAGGCTATCCTGATGTACATTATTTTGTTGAAATAAAGTTGATTTAAAAAAAAGTCATTTGAGCAAACAAACCGTTCAACTGTTTCAAACAAGCCCGGTGTCCGTAGCGTGTAATTACCGGAAAAGACTAGATTATGGCTTCAAAATAAAGGAAACAAGTTTTGTTATTTTCGGAAAATATCAACGTATTCTAATGTGCTTCACATTCTGCCTTAAATTGTGTGTTGTTCTCATTTCAGTACGCAATTAAAGTGAAACAAACTTGCACCCACGCGTGGTTTGAAGCCCGTTTTGTTTTATTTTGAAAGTACCAGGGGTTGCACATCCTCTCTATGTACTTGTTAGCTGGTGCTATTGCTTCGGCGTTATTTCTCCGACAAGCTGGGGGAGAGGCGCAGGGAGCGCAGGATCTTAACGATGATGTGTTAGCAGGAGACAGCGGGGAACTCCCCTGTCGGAGAAAATTCATTAGAGTCCTCTACATGACCAAAGAAACGAGACCGGCAACGAGAAACGTAAACGTAACAGTCATGCAATTTAAGTATAGACGAATTTGAGCGAAGGCTTCTTCTTCAAGGTTACTCCGCTTGAAGACGCCCTGCACTCCCCGTGTCGCAGATCAGCTGGCATACGTTGGTTGATCCTCACCGGTACCGACCATGTCTGTGGAAGAGCAAGGTTACCCCGAGGCTGTGCAGTTGCTGGAGGCCGGGCCGGAGTGGATGCGGGCCGAGATCGAGCGTCTCTCCCGGGAGCTGAGTGATACGACGAACGAGAAGATCCAGGCGGCGGAGTACGGGCTTGCGGTACTGGAGGAGAAGCAGCAGCTCAAACAGCAGTACGATGACCTGGAGATGGACTACGAGGCCATCCGGCAGGAGCTCGATCAGCTGAAGGAGGTAGGCTGCGCATAAGAAACCTCAGGGTATGCCTAAGAAATTATAATTGTCATCAGGGGTTTTTATGATCTACGCATCAACAGTAGAGCCATAATAAACCTTGTATTCATTTCGAGGCATATATCAATGTAAAGAGCTGTAAATACTTCCATTGACCTTGTAATTTGAATTGTAGTCTATTTGCATACTCCCATTAATACGAAATCCTTTCCAGGGTCTCGTGACATTTGAGCAGGCATCAGCCATAAATAGCTGTTTATCCTTCATACTACAACGTCAAAACTGCAGGATGAAGACAGGATGCTGCCTCCACCCCCACCGCCCTCTTTACTCTGGGTGTCCCCCCATTGTACTTGCATCTTTATTTATTTATGCAGCTCTTATGGCCCCTTCTTCAAGAGATTCCTGTTTTTCTGCCCACCACTTGAGCAATGTAGTAGATCTGCCCACCGTATAATAGGAGCACATATTCCAGGCAATCTGCATACTTTGCTGTGCAAGTTGGATATGGGACATACTGTAAATAGTGACCTGAGATACTAATTTATACCCTCAGTTTGCTTGTTTGTTTGTTTTTTTTTTTCTGTTTTCTGGCATATTTTAGGTTGACATGTTGAGATCACTTTTTAAAAGATAGCTTTTAGGTGTTTGTCAGTCTTAGCTCAGATGTGCCCTCTTCTGTGAACAAGAATTACTAGTTTGGTTGAAAGGGGAGGGAGTATGTTTGAATTTTGAACCTTCCCGCTCAGAAGAGAGAGGGATGACAAACGTGCAGTGGAAGCCCGATGAGTTATGACCTATGGGGAATGGAAAGAATGTTGAGAGTGACTGTTCAGCTGGGCTAAAGTGCGATAAAGGATGTGTCTGTTTTTCTAAACAGTTCCGTACTGTTGGATCACATTGGGTCCAGTTTTCTTGACTAGAACAGCAGTTTGTCACTGTCTTATGATTTGCATAGAGAGAAGTTTGACTTTAGTGTGTCCTACCAACGGCTCACAAGAAGTAATACTAAAAAGCAAGTTCCCTCTTTAACACAGGCTTATTCATAGTTGCTCACATCCTTCTTTGAGTTACGGGTTCTTCCCATGCCCTCCCACTAGGGAACCAATAGCTGGTAAACCCCATCTCGTCATGCCAGAAATCTGCTCATCGCTTGTTGGGGTTTTTTTTGTGCTTTTCAGCAGACACACATACGGAGAGGTTTTGTTGCTTCTCTGTCTTGTCTCAGTCCTCTCTTGGCCTTCTCTCTATGGTTTCTGTTGCAGAAAGGAGGAGGTCCCAGGGCTGTCTCAGCAACTCCTGCTTAGTTTCCCATGCACTTCTTTGGCAAAGAAGCCTAGCCCTGCCTCAGAGGAATGACAGCAAAAAGCTCTGAATCAAAGAAACAGGTTGGAAAAGGGTCTGAAAGAGGAACCAGGCAGCAAACAAGAAGCAGGGACATTTGTAGAGGTTTTTTTTTTTTTTTTGGTTTTTCAAAATATGCCAGTTGAAATGTTGTTTAAAAAAGAAGCTCTTGTTGAGAGTTTGGTCTTTAGTCTCATAATGGAACATAAACATCCATGAGGGCAATAAACTCAATTGTTTGCTCAAAGCTGTGGCAGAGGTTCTTTGTTTTGCCTTGGGGATGGGTTGGGCTGGTTATAGATCGCTGATAAGATGTTAACCATAGCCATGCCTCCCCCCCAACCACCATCAGTATGAAGGGTAGATGTGATGCCATAACAAGAGAAATACAAAACATTCTCCTGACATCCACCTCCACTTCCTCTTTATTGTCTGTATGAGAACAGCTTGTAGTGGGGAGCAAACAGGATACTGCACAGCAGGTGCTAAAATTAAAGGTTATCTGTGTGGTCAGATTCTTGGACTCCAGTCTTATAATTATCATCCAGTTATTGCAAATATTAATCAGTCACACAGCATTCTTGTGTTGCTCTAATATGTGGTATTGTATGGAGTAGGCAGGTCAAACTGGCCAGTGTGGCTTTGTCTGCAGCTGCTGTTAAAGCACATAAGACTGTTATTTTTTTTGGTCAGGTTCAACTGCCATGTTGTCTTAAGTACATACTAACCCTGACAGCAGCAATGTTTGGGTGTCCCTTCTCCTTTCAAGGACTTAGACAGATTGGAATGGATTGTCTGGGAGATTTACAGACTAGATCAACACAGAGGCTCCTTTACTGAGACCCTGAACCTCTCCTTTCTCTTACTGGTATGCACAAACATGCCGCACATGAAAGTAGTCTAGATATGTCTGTAATTATAGTGATTTAAATGCCCAGATGTCATTCTTTTGTTCAAGTTTGGACAGAAATAGTCAGGATTCATGACGACAGTCCTTTCACCTCTCCTTGCCTTCTCACCTACCTGTGGACAGGGCACCAGTATTCAAGCTCAGGCAGATCCCCACATACATGCTACTCTTTAGACAGGAACATGGAGGAATTCTATGCACTGCTGTTGCTTAGTAACCTGACAGCTCTTTGCCTTAGATTTGAACAGCCGTGCTTTCTCAGCAGGTGCTGCGCTCGGAGTATGTTTGTGTGTGACTGCTGAGAGATGATTTCACAGCCAACTGGAGTATACACATGCTAACTGGCTCAAAGTAATCATGCACTGGTTAATAATAGTATTCATAGGATGATGTTCCTATCTATTCTCTGATGTAGCTGTCATATTTGTATGTATTACAGTTGTTTATTCTGTCATTGGCCAATTATTGCTTCGTTCACTTCATAGCCTTCCAACCACAAAATTATTCTCTAACTTGTTATTGTGTTCTGTAATGAATTCCTCCTTAGGGATGCACTGCTGTGAATGTGTGGGTTTCCCCCTATCTTTTTCTCTCTTCCTCTTCTTTCACTCCACTGTAAAAGAGGTAAAGCACTAGTTCACTGTATGTAGTGTCAGTTACCATTTTCCCAGTTTGCTGTAGACTAGCCTGACAGGGAGACCTGCTGGTACTTTATAGTGAATATCAGTTGTTTGCTCCACTGTCTCTGTACTACCTACCTCCTGGATTATAACACTTAGTTTTTGTGTCCACCTGTCTGAATACATTGCTTTATGCAGTGTCATCTCTTTGTCAAATCTTTACATAACATTTAAGTTAGCAGCTGCTTTCTGAATAATAAGCTGCTCGCTCAAACAGTGCTCTGATAAATGCACCGCTGCACATCTGGCTGCCCATGAAGATATGATTAAGCTGTGTAGCCTTTCACCCAGTTGTCATTCAGATTGCAGAGCACAGTTTCAGACACAAGGTAAAGGAGATAATGACATTATGCTACACTGTCACAGTATAAGAGGGTAAAGTGGCATTTTGATATTTTTAAGTTAAGCCACTCACAGATGAATGTTAATACTGTTGTGGCTTCTCCTCTATGAAGACATGAAGAGGTTGTGGTATATATGGTGGACTCATTAGTCCATCAAACTTTCTTAGGTTTGTATGAATGTAAAGAAAACAGTGGGCACAAAGACATCATCATGTATCCAAAGGCCACAGATCATCCCACAGTCACTGTTTCTCTCCTGATATTGGTCCTTGCTTGTTCAGTCTAGAGACACATGGACAATAGTATTTCAACAAAGGCCTAGAGCTCCTGACATCCTTGTTGAATTGGGAGAAGTGTCAGAGACCACACTGAAGTCTTTCAGTCACACAGACCCTGTTCCTCCCCTGCAACTCTCATATCGTTGTGTGCAGGACTTGCTGGCCTTTTGTGTGTTTTAGTCCACTGGGGTTAACAGGTCTTGGGTGTCCCAGATGAAGTGAGGGTTACATGCTATCAGAACACAGTGTATGACAAAGGAGAGAATGAGAGTGGTGCCCCATTGTGATTACATCTGAAAGGATTGGTCACTTTTGTACCTTTTGAAATGGCAGATCACCAAAGGATATATCCCGCTGTCCTTAAACAAAGATACCTGGTGCAACTCTAAGCCCTTTGCGTAGTGTTAAATGGGTTGGATTCTGATTGGACAGCAGTACAAATACGAGGCCACAAAACCCATCTGGCCCCTTATATATATATATGAGGAGTCATAAATAAAGTCAAGCTCCTATTACTGGGCTGCCACATGGGGCCACATCGCCTCAACAGCTGCTCATTTCTCACTCTCATAATCTGTATTTTTTTACTTCAGCCATTCTTCTAGCTTATCACAGACACCCAGTCCTAATAGCTCAGATGCAGTCATTGTCTTATTTCACTGGGCTTTCAATCTGGGTTTAGTTGTGTTTTTGCCTCTACTTGTGACCTAGCATATGCTGAACCTTTCAACATTGTTCGGGCCATTCTTATTGCCATTTTTCTCCACAGTGTTTGTCTGATGGCAAGACTGCAGTTAATAGGTAAGCTTTTCTAATTGATACCAAGCAAAGTCACAAATCTACCCTCCAGGCATAAGAGGATGAATCCCAGCCACTACGCACAGGGCTGACGGAGGTTTGGGTGTCTGCCAAGCCCAGCCACACTCAGCGGTCTCCATAGCCAAGGACTGATAGGTGTGTTTTCTGAAACAGCTGCACTGGGCAGTTAACTCTAATAAACAAAATATTGTTAGCACATGTTCACAGTTCAAGTAGAGGCCATATTTATTCTGGAGTGTTGGTGGATGACTGAGTACTTTTGGTATCTAACAGTTAGTTGGCTCTTTGTGGTTGAGGTTCCTTAATAAAACTAGATCAAGTTGCTCCCCAAGTCTACGACAGGCTGCGGTTGCCTGCTGATAGAAGAACATCGCATTGTGACTATTCATGGGAACATTGTCTGTTTTTGTGTGTATCATCAGGCCACAGTCAGAGACACTAGCTACAAGTTGTCAGGTAATCCAAATAAAATCTGTCCACAAAAGCTGAATAAGATAATGAGTAAGTATTTACTGTATTTGATTCCCCATAGTGGAAAGCCTACATTTACAGTTATCATTCACTGACACATATTATTACTGTAGATAAGAGAGTCAAAAGTGCAGCATCCTACTGTAATCCAGTT